TTTAATAAATGGGGGAAGTGATTACTGACATGACAATTTTGTTGCGAGCCTACGCTTCTTGAGACCGATGAAACTCTTCCCCTCGTCGGCGCTCTCTGCAGCAGCGAATTCGGATTACACGTCCGTCATGGCAGCTTACAGGCGAGGATACCATTCATCAGGGCACTTGGAAGAAGCCACGGCTTCACGCGGAATGCACGGAACGTTTTGCTCGCGGTTCTGGGGCGTTCTGTTTGGCAGCAAGAGGCCGGTGGCCAGCACCAGGAGAACTGCAGCGTTCAGATGTCGAGTCCACGCCCGCAAGTTTTGTCGCAAGTCGAACAGTGTTCGTTTGTGACTGGCTTCCGCGAGAACCGTGCGGATGTCCGAACAAAGGGCTTTACTGAAGAAGTGAGACGATGAAGATCGTGCTGGCTTTTTCATCTGGTCGCTCAATGACCTGATGAGCAATGTAATATGGGCCAGCTTAGCATGTATTTATGTTGAAGATGCATATGTACGTATGTATGTATGTATCTATCTATCTATCTATCTATCGATCTATCTATATATTATATAGATGTATGTCTGTATGTATGTATGTATGTATGTATGTATGTATGTATGTAGTGACAATGTAGTGTTAGTGTGTGCTTGTGTGCTCGCGCGTGCGTGCGTGCGTGCATGTTTGTGTGTGTGGAACCCGTAGCGGAGACCAAGTGAAGCAGTCCGAGAGACATGGGCGGCCAAAGAAGAGGACGGACCCCAGTACTACTACTGACTAAGTACTGGTACTAGTACTTGCAGTAGTAGTCGTCGTGATAGTAGTCGTAGTCGAAGTGATAATAGCAGTAATCAGTAGTAAGGCAGGAATAAAAATAGAACTGGCAGTAGGAATAGCAGCAAGGGCAGGGGTAGGAGCAGCCGTAATGATTGTCGTCGTCGTCTTGGCCTCGTGCTCGTCCTCGTCCTGTCGTCGCCACGGCGCCGCAACAGTAGGAGTCAGAGCGGCAGCAGCAGCAGCAGGGGCAGTAGCAGCATGTAGCAGCAGTGTTCGTCTAGTCGCAGTGGCAGCAGCAGCAGTTGCTTATAGCCTTCGGTTGTTGTTGTTGTTGCTGTTGAGGAGAATAACCCTCGCTACGAGTTCTTGGTGGTGGTGCCGTTCCTGTCCCTACTGGCCCTGTGGTTGTGTTGGCGTCGGTACCAGCGGCGCTTTTACTTCACGTGCTGCTGCTGCTGCCACTGATGAAGACCATATCTTTCCGGCTGTCACTGCAGCAACACTATCCGTGGAGCCAAGTTGAGGCACGATGCTGGAGATGAGGATGATGATGATGGTGATGATCTTGCCCATGATGATCATGATGATGAGGATGGGCAGACGATGATAAAGACGAAGACGAACAATAAAAGTGTTATGATGATTGTGGCATGGTGGGCCAGAAGACGTAGTGATTTGGATGATGGTTACTCTGACGGCGATAGCAGCACTGGAAGCTATGAAAGTGAGAACCATGATGTGGAGACAGGCATGGCTCGTGATCGTTCTGCTGGTGATCAAGCAGCGGTAACGGCGAGGGTGGTGGCGGTTCTCTCGGTGGCGGCAGTGGGCTCGCGGTGAAGCGTCTCAACGTCTTTGAGCCCAGATGCCCACGACTTGATGTTTCCGTTCGAAAGGATTGGCACGCGCACCACCTTCTTGATGGCACGTACCTGGATCCCAGGCTTGCAGAACATGCAGGTGCAGCTTCTGCTGCTTTGCCCTGCCCTACCTGGTCAAGATGCGCAGGACCGTCCCTTCGATGTGTCGGTGTACCACGGTATCGTGCATGTACTGCGATGAGACTGGCGCCCGAGGCCTGACACAGCCGAGCGGGGGAGCACAGAGACAGCTTCAAGACGAATTAACTCTAGACCCCACACACCTCGAGCTGCTTCACCAGCTCCAAAGTCTCCTGCCAAGAGTTAAAACACGGGTTAGACCCTCCGCCCACTCTTGAACGCAGGGTTCCCAGTTCGGAAAACCCTGGAGACACGGAAAACATGGGCGAAGATTGGGGAACACGGCTGGCAAACACCAAGACTCTAAAACTGGCAGAACCGAGACCCTAATGAAACAGGATCTTGTCTGCCAAGTTTATGGAACGTTGATGGTCACGCCATCCACGCCCGCAACCTAGAAAAAGATGGTGGCTAGCAAAGCTCAAACCCTGCAAGGAGAAGCCTCCGATAACAGTACTTTTCTAGCTGTGTTGGGTGGCAAACCCTTGAATGTTGGGATACCGAGACTCTCGGTATCCCAGAACCCCAAAAGACAAAAAACGACACCATAGCCTTAGACTGTGCTACTTGGTTCAACCGGTTTTCGGCTTACAGCGGCCGCCGGGGTGCTGAAATTTTGTGGTTTTCGGCTGCAGCCGGCCGCGTAGCAAACCCCAACCCCCGGAAAGAAGATGGCGGCTGGCACGCCCCAAACCCTGAGAAGATCTTTGGCAAACCCCATGCCCGAAAGAGGATCGTAGTTGACAAACCCTTAGGGAAGAAGATACTGGTAAAAATCACCTGCATTCTACTCGGGGATGTTGGGAGGCACATCCCAGAATCGCCCCAAATCCTGACAGGAAATCTTGCTTCGCAAACCCAAAAACGTTAAAGACATTTGTCGCAAAACCCTACGCCATAGCCTTGGTTGCCAAACCCCAAAGCCCCAAAAGAAAATTTCGGTTGCCACGCCCGCAGATTTTGAAGGGAGATGTTGCCTGGCACACCCCGAACCTTAAAGAATGGCGTTTGCAAGAAGATCGTGGCTTGCAAAAAAACCCAGAAGAAGAACGCGTTGGTCTGGAAACCCCAACTATCGTTGCGGCTTCGCAGAGCTCGGCGCGAATGTGCAGCAGGAAGAGCAGCAGTATCAGCAGGAGCTTCGGCATTTTAAGAATCTGTCTTGCGAATCGGCGGGCCGAGCTTCTGAATCGACCCGCCTGTTTTTCGAGTTCTCTCCAGTACCAGCAGCAGCAGCAGTAGCAGTAGCAACAGTAGCAGTAGCAGTAGCAGCAGTAGCAGCAGTTGCAACAGCAGGAGTAGTAGTAGTCGTCGTCGTCGTCGTCGTCCTCGTCGTCGTCGTCGTAGCCGCAGTCGTAGTAGTAGTAGTAGTAGTAGTAGTAGCAGCAGTAGTAGTAGTAGTACTAGTAGTAGTAGTAGTAGTAGTAGTAGTAGTAGTTGTTGTTGTTGTAGGAGTAGGAGTAGGAGTGGGAGTA